CCCTTCCTACAACCAGACGACCCACGTTGGAAGCAGATCCCTAGGAAATGATAAGTTGGGTTTCCATTAATAAAAGGTCTTAGTCAACAACAGGACTGACAAACATTTATCAGCAATGATGGGGTAAGGGGTAGACGCCTCAACTGGAGATGGCTCCTTCCAACTCTGAGCTTCTGTGGTTCTGGAATTCTGTAAAGTGGCACAGAGGACTCAATCAAATGCTTGCGGTTATGATTTGTTTGTTTTTCTAGAGGTGACACTGTAGGCCTTACTCCTCTGTCTCCAGGGAACAAGGCAGGAACACACAAGACCCACCAGCCCCGTCACCACCTGGGGACGGACATCCTGTGTCAGGCGCAGGCTCCTTCGAGGACTCCCAGCGTGGAGGATAACACCCTCCCACACCACCTCTTTGGGGTCTTTCCCAGCAAAATTGGAATTTTCCCCAGAATTCTTTTTTCTTCCTAGAGGATTATTTACAAATTTCTTCTGGGATTCTTCCAGGTCACCACCTCCCGTCCCTCTCCCCTCCCCCAAATAGGAAGAAGGAAAGAGATGGAATCTAGACCAAGCATTCATATCCTCCTTCCAGTACCTGTCCAAGGTGCAGATGGGATGCGACAGGTGAAGACCGGCTCACGGGGAAACTTAGAGTGAATATGAATAGTTTCTAGGGTTTTCTGTCTAAAGGTCAATGAACTTTTGAGGTTCTAATGAAAGTCATGAATACCCTACCAAGAAAATACACATGAAGGAGATTTTGCCTTCTATTCCAGGGTAAGATGGGGCGCTGTCAGACCCTGGAAGTCCGTCTGTGAAGCCCCTAGGTTTAAGAGGACGGGCTGGGGGCCACCTCCACCGCCAAAGCCACGGCCAGGCTGGTGTATGGGGAGGGGTCGGGGCTCTCCCGAGCCTGGAACGTCCTGCTCTCCAGCCTCTCTCTGTACACACAGGACCGCTCGGGCTCTTTGTTTGTCCACCTCTAAAATGGGCACTCAGGCCCCTCCGACCCTGGGGGGCTGTATAAGGAGGCTGGAGGGACCGGGAGCTGGGTAGGAGGAAGCGGGTGGGTGGAGAGCCGCTCCCTGTGGTCTCCTCC